CTCTGGCCGGCTCCCGCCTATGGCGGACGTGAACGAGAGCCGGGCTCTTTCTCCAGGGCAGCCTTGCTTCGTGGCGGCCCAGAGCCGCGCAGCTCCAGCGGGCGTTACTGCCCAGCAGCGAGCTGCCCGCAGGCCCCTCAGCAGACACCTCTGCGCCCAGGGCTCTGGGAGCAAAATCTGCGTTTCCCTCTGCCAACGGGAACAGCTCCGCTCTGTGCTTGTGCTAAGGCATAAAAACACACCTTGCGCATACTTATGTGCTGCCTTTGCCAACCAGCAGCGCTTCCCCTTCAAGGGATTTATGGGGGAAAGGGGATTTTGGCAACCAGAGATCAATGTTCTCATTTTTGCCACAATGACCCCATCTATCCCAGTGAAATGCCTCCATCACAAGCCACAGGAGTTGCAATAATGCTTTTGCTCACCAGGTAATCTGGAGTAGGATGTTATAGCGATGGGAAAGGACTTCTGAAGACGCTTCTATACCCTTTCTACTTTTTTTTCCCCAATAAACGATTTCCTTGTTCCTCAACAAACTGCCACCACGGTGCTGTGATCTCACACGCACAAGGTAAAGCAGCTACTTCACATCAATAAATAGCAGCTTTCATAAAACAAAAGGGTCCAGAACCATTATGGACACTTCACAGCTGTCGGATATAGATTATTCTCCTGCCTGTGCACTGCTACAAAGTTAAGGACGAAGATACAGAGGCCACAGTGAGACACGTACGGGCACCATACTAAACACATGATCCCAGGCAGCATGAAAAAGTCTCAAATTGATATTCCCGGCTGTCTCATTTAGCCCTTTTCTGCAAGCGTAAGTCACCGGGGACGAACTGACCAATTAGCTTCACTGCCTCTAGCAGAGCTGTGCTAAATGCTTACCTTGACAGTCACAAGAGACGCTCCTCAAATGCACAACCTATTGACTCATTGAGATACTATAAACATCTAACCAGGAAAAAGGAAATAAAAGATAATAGGTTCTATCCAAAAAAGGATTGAACTCAAAAACACTGCAGTGCCTTTATTTTAAACTAGCCAAACCAGCTTTTCACAAGCCAAGGAGAGTACCAGGTCCTACCTAATCTTTGTTCTGAAAAGAACAGCAATAATGCAATACAATACATGCACTTTGCTTTTCTGCAGGTCATCCTGAAGATCTGTTTGCACTGACTGACAATTTTTAACTTGGAACACCCATGCAAAGTATGCATGACACCATTTTTACATAAGTAAATATTACCTCTTACGGGAGATGATGCTGAGACACAGCTAAAAGTCAATGCTATTTAGAGCAATTTCATGATCGGAATGTTCTGTTTGAGGGCATTTAACTTGGCACTTTGGAGATCTAAATACTGGAGCTGCTGACCGTCTCTCTGTTGCTCAGTAACACCGGGTGCTGTGGGTTATCAGCATCCTTCTGCTTCTCCCCACTCCACGCAGCAATAGCTGCTAGGACCACATATGGCCACAGGGTGAACAGGAAAGGGTGCGGTGGCTGCTGCCACATCACATGAGCTGACTGAGTCCCCCAGCTGCACCAGAGTGTGCTAATGGGTACTTCCTCTCCCCGGGGACTTGCACCTGGCTTGAGTTGTTTAAATAACTTTCCCAAAGTCATACAGTTGCATCAGAGTTAAAAATAGAACTCATACTGGCTAAAACCCTTTCTCAGAACAAATCAGACCCCACTTAGAGCTTTTCCCCTTTGTAATGAGCTCTTTCACATTTCCTTTCTGAATTTCTTCCGTGTGTCCACACGTTTAGCTCCTCAGCAAGCTTTAACTGCTGCGGATAGCAAATGAGTAAACCAGTTGTAAGAGAACAGCCTGAACCAAGGCTGCCCTTCGAAGGTCAATTTATCCTGTGTTACACTGCATCAGCATTTTCTGATTGTCTGAAGCAGATTTATCCTTGAAGAGAAGCCCATCTTTCACACATCATACAAAGGGCAGGTGCATTTACTAATGTGAGGGCACACAAGAATCCTTTGAACAGTAGCTGTGCATGGTGAATGAGTAAGGAACTGCACGTAGTTGCTGATGCAAAAATTTTTAGCTCATTCTGTGGTTAAAACCAGAATCTCACTTACTGCTTGCTCCCTCCATACTAATTCTTCATGTTTAATATTAGCCTTCTGGAGCCACCCTATACTGTCATCTCTCAGGCATTCAGTGGGAACCCGAGGGAGGAGCTTCAGCTTTAAGGAATGTCACGTTTCCCTTACAAATACAGCAGCTTAACTGTCTACACCCCAAAGAGCTATCAGAGAAAATGTAAACTTCTTTTTCAAGCTATTTTACTTGGCGCATGTTGTCATTAAAGCTGTTGTTCTCATCACAACTCATTTTTTATTTTATACACATGCACATGGTTTGAGGAAAGATTTTTGCATCCTGCTTTGTCAGCTTTGACCATTCACTGAGTAACTGACACCAAAGCCAAGCTCAGTGTGTTTTCCTTTCCATTCGTAAGAACTGGGGAAAAAAGTTACCAAGCTCAGCTTGTAAACAGAGATCATGACAATTCATCTACTGTGCAAATTAGATGACTATACTAGAAAACCTACAATACAGCACCTTGGCCTTTGAAGAACAGAACACGTAACAACACCCTTAGCCTGGAACGTAAAGTTGTTGTACCTTTAGTTTCAAAGGACCACATGACGACGGGCTTAGAAGAAAGCCCACCAAGAGAATAGCTGCCAGAAACAAAACAGTAGAACACGGCGGTGTGAGGTACTGGTAGAACAGAAACCCGTGGTCCTTCCGTTTTATTTGGCAGAAAAGTACCCCAAAGTCAAAGGATATGCCACCGCGGGACCGTCCAACTGTAAAGAAAGGAGCGTTCGCTGCTAGATGCAGGGGCTGCAGAGAATCGCAGCAGCCAAGCGTGGCAGGAAAAGCGTTATATCGCCTTACCCCGGCTCTCTGCCCTGAGCTCTTCCTAATTCGGGCCTTTCGGCCACTGCTAAAACTCCGCCTCCTCCCTCGAGGCCCGTCCTTCCCCAAGCACATC